GGGTTGAGATACCCCGTAGTTACCTTCCTCTTCATTCTCAGCACTTTCGAATCAAGACGGTCCCAGCCCTCTATGCGTCTTTTCCCATTATGAAACTCTTCCTTAAAAAGTTTGCGGGTTCATTCTTTGGCCCGGGTGGGACCTGTAGTACCCAGTCTAGAATTGGAAGCCAGTTTTGGAGTCTCCCACCTTTTCTCGGATGGAAATTTCGGGTTTCGCTTCCCTTCCAGTACCAGAGAATTCTTGCAAGGGCTCAGGAGAAGTGGAAATTACCCACTTCTCTCTCGACCTGTTGAGAGGCAGCGAATAGCGCTGTAGCCTTAGCTGGCTACAGCGCTATTCGCTGCAACTCTCGGTGCGCTTTCGAAAGTACTACAAAACGGTCGTGGATATCAACCCCGCCCATCCAGCGATGATAGTCGCGCATCGCTGATGGACAGGGTATGATTTCCTTTCTGCCGCCACGTAGATGCCGCCCTGCGATGGTACAACAACAACAGCATAAGTTAGGAAGCCGTCGTCACTAAGACACGACCCAAAAGTAACTTACCGCAGGTTTCAATAGATGTACTGCTGCCAGACGAGAGAAGGTAGACAGGAAGGCGGTCCCACCAAAGCATTACCTGTAAAAGATCGCAGCCCTTTGCGACGGCGATCGTGCTGGTCCCGCGGGGGATATGAGTTGGACGAGTTGCTGCTTTGGTCACGAGGGCTGGCGGAAACCCTTTCTTGTTTGGCTGTATTTTGCCAACCGTGTGTACATTCCGAGCCAGGAGCTGCAAATCTAGCTGGATCGACGTATAGAAGCGATCCGTCACCACAGCGTGGTAAGACACCTTCTTCTGGGGCAGGAAGAACTTCACGCAGATTACGGATAACCGCTGCAGGGCCAGAGTTCGGGTCTGCTGAAAATCGGGTCGTTGATTGATCTCCAAGCTTGTCTGAGTGCTGGTTAGTTCCACAAAATTCTTCCAGCCTTTGATGCAGCACAATACAACATTCCAAACAACAGAGGTAGACAAATACAACAAGTGAGACTTAGCAAAAAAAAGACTCCACGATGGAGGCCGTCGAACTACGTACCGTAGACAATACGCTGTGTCAGCACAGCATATCATAAACAGTTTTGT